CTTTGCCATGTTTGGGGGGGGGGAATGCTCCCTTGCTCCCAGTGAGTTTCCAGATCAAAGGTTTATAGATAGCTCATGCCCAATACAATATGGACATGTAAGGAAGCTTTGATATAGGATGCTAAGAGTTATGAATGATGATTTATTTTCAATGGAAGAGTTGAACTTCTTTGGAGATTCTCAATCATCCACAGCAGGGTTGTTACAAAGCTGCTTCTCAAAAGGCCACTGGACTTTTTTCCCCCCCCCCCTTTGAAAATGTTTCGCTTCTCATCCAAGAAGCTTCTTCAGTTGAACGGTTGAACATTGCAAAATAGGACTGGCTCAAAGAGAATGTCTGTCAATCACTGCAACTAGCATAAGTTTTTCTAATAAATTTGTGGGCAACCCAAATTAAGACCCTGTGGTATCATCTATAAAATCAAGTGGTGGTGGTGAATTATATTTTGGTGCAGGGGTGGTTGTGAAAAGTAATAGGGATAATAAAATGCATGTGCTTGTTGTCAGCTATCTGAATTCTTTTTATTTCTTTGTCAAGCTCTTGCAAAGTATCTTAGTGATAAAATTCTGGAATGATTTGAGGATTTACTCATGAGATGACTTGCAATTCCAGTCTTTGGCAGGTTGGTGTTGTCAGTTTCAGCACTATTGGGTGCACGATGTTTCTGTTGCTTATGCCAAGAAAGAGTTTTGTGTGGCTGTACACTGTTCTGTTTCTGTTATTTGTGGGAGGCATCCTTTTTGTCTTCTACATTCTAGATTTAGTGGCATTAAATGTTTCCAGCCACAAGTCAGGATTAGAAATCCTCACTTAGGTCAGGACTGTAATTTCCTTGCTGCACTAGCAAAAGGTGCAGCTCATTCAGCCTCCCAGTTCATTTTAGCATCCTTACTCCTATAAACAAGCCATCAGCACTATTTCGGAAGAGCATTAGCCCCATATTCAAAATTAGCACAACGGATTAGCCCAAGACACAAAGGAAGATTTGTGCTGAGTAATATTATTGGGACCATTCAGTGCCACTTCACCTGTGTAGCACTCTGGGACTACAAGTTGCAAGTCAAGCAACAGGATCAATCAACTTGCCATTCTAACATCCCTCAAAGCTCACCCAACCCTGCTCAATTCAATGTCAGGGAGAAGATCTTAGGGTGTTTTGCCACTGCTAGATGGGAGGGGAAGCCAAAGTAGGCCAATTCACCCATCCCTGCTGTAGATATTTAAGAAGGACATATTTGGCTGATTCCATAATAGCTACAAATAGTTACAGACATCAGCAATGTGGACAGCATAGCTCATGCTAGCTTACTTATTCTAGCTGAAGGACACTATCATGTACTTTACCATCTTCTTCTTCTAGAATTATTCCTGTGCTGTGGCAGGGTCCACTTGTTGACAAAGCTGTCTCCATTTGGTTCAATCCAGGGCATCTTCAGGGGTGACACCCCCACATTTCATGTCCTCCTTGATGCGATCCATCCACAGTTTCTTGAGTCTGCCACGGGGTCACCGGCCATCAGTGTCCAGACACATGGCTGTCCTCACCACCAAGTCTTCTTTTCTCCACTTTACTATATATGTAAGAAACCCAGCTCTCATACAACCATTTTGTACCTCCGGTTGAAGATAGCAAAGGATAAAGAGAAGCCATAGGAAACAAAGAGCGGCTGTGCAGTTGAAGATCAAAAGAATCTCCAAAATGTTAGTACTAAGTTGTTAATAATTACATGTGTTTGATTAAAATAAGGTTAATATTCCCTATGAATTGTATGCAGATTTGAAAATTAAATAAACATAAGGTGTGCTGAACATTATTCCTATGTCAACTGGCATGGAGAAGAGCTTCCCTTGGTGTCTATGGAAAGTTCTTTCCCCTTATGCTAAAGCATCACAAAGGTGGATGTGAGGGTGTTCTGGCCTCAACATCTGCCATTCCCCTGATTGTCATGATTAAATTGCCATGGAGAATCACAGGTTTTGTCAATAAGGCTTAATTTCTCCTCCCCATGCACTGCATTCCTAATGATAACCTTCCCCCACCCCACGTAGCATTTCATTCTTTAAAAGCCACAGTGAGATTACTAAGTCTGTAATTAATATAACATGTAGCTGGGCCCTCAAGCTACCAAATCATATGCCAGATAAAATATTCCAGGGTGTGTTAGCAAAGACTTAATATGGGTATGCTTAACCAGCCTTCCCCTGGTGGGCCCCAGATGTGCAAAACTAAAGCTTCCATCACTCAGCATTGCCATAGATGGGAGTTGCAATCCAACCTACTTAGAGATGGGAAAGAGCTATGCTAAAGCCTAGGTGGCCAACTTGGAAGACGATGCAGGATACCAACCCATAGTCGTTTATGTGAATCCTCTGTTTCAGACTCTTTAGATCTGAATTTTGTTTCTTTGAGTAGAACCCTAGTAGCCACCCACACTGGAGAGAGGACTGCATATGTACCGACGTACATATTAGAGTGGCACTATGTCATGTTTCAGATTGGATTAAGGGCACTCTCAACAAAAGGTTGGCCTCTTCTCTGAAATTAATCTTCTCAGGCACATTGACATGTGCAGAACATAAGCTACCCATACTGTAATTCACTCTGCTCTGGAATCACAGGGCTCTAGGGCCTTGGCAGTGGGCTTCAGCTGGGTGGCTTCCAAGCCATAGACCATAATCTTTCCATGTGGAAACGGTTGAATCAAAAAAGTGGCATTCATTTTTTCTACCTTTGAAGTGACTTTGCACATAGATGTTGCAGAATTAGCACATCTTTTAACAATATAAGCTAATACCTTGTCTCATTTCAGAACTCAATGACAAACGGGAATAATCTCCCACGATAGATTTTTTTTCTTTCATAATATGACAGAACCCCCATCCTCTACTCTGCATTCAGTTTCTCATAAGCATAGTTCGCAGATGACTAGCGTATAGTTCAACTGTTGTTTGTTTGTTTGTCAGTTAAATGACAAATCTAACTAAAACATGTTACATTTTCCCAGGCTCTTTAATTAGGAACATATTTTTATTTTCACTTACAGTACTGAACATATTAATAATTAGCAGCAAACAGGAGGATAATTTCATCTGGTGTGAACGCAGCAAAACTCAGGCACTGTTTTAAAATCTTAAATTTTAAGGTATGTTCTGTAGGAGAAAGGGCATATGTGTCTTAAACTTTACCTTGTGAAAATTAATCTGTTTTCTGTTTGTCTGCTTCCTTGATAAGAGAGATTCTTGCTGGCTAAAAAGTATGCCATCATTTAATGGACTTTGATATATTGTCAAGAATTCCTTATCTCACTGGATTTATTGATTAAAATGGGATGTGTATGGGAGGACGGAAACAGAGTTAACTATGTAAACATTGCAAAGACACTTCTATAAATATTGCTTTTTTCTTTTTCTTTCTTCACTCTCTTCTCCTTTTCCACCTTTTCTATTTTCTCTTATTTTCTTTTTTTTACTTTTTGTAGGTTTTAGGCTTGTGAAAAAAATCTTCAGTAAAAGTTTTATTTAAAAAAAAAATCCCATTTCTTAGCTGCAGTGATAACCTAACATTTAGTTGTCTATGGCAGGGGTCCCCAAACTTTCTGAGTTGGTAGCCCAGTAGGAAAGGGAGGGGCAGGCACCTTTATGCATGCATGCGCACACATGCAAATGTGGCTGCATGCGCACGAAAGGGGCTGTGAGCATGCATGCTCTGTAAATGGAGCTGCTAGTGCCGGTGTGCAGCACACAACTCAGCTAGTGCCAGCACACAGCTCGCAGCTCGGCTAGTATGAGGCTTGAAGTTCAGCTATCTCTGGCGCAAGGAGGGGTGAGCACGTGCACATGTGTGCACACACTGGCCAGCCATTCACGTGGCCTGGTGGCCGAGAGGCCATGGCCTGGTAGTGGACCACAGCCCATAGGTTGGGGACCTCTGGTCTATGGAGATTCTCGGTCATCCAAGTCATGGTTGTCCCATGGTTGTCTTCATTTCTGAAGAACTGAAGAAGCTTCTTGGATGAGAAGGAAAACGTCTTCAAGAAAAAACAAAGAAAGTCCAGGTGCCTTTTGAAAAAGTACCTTTGGGACTAACATTCAGTTCTAAAGGTCGTGGAATCTGCTAGGAGGCTCAGAGTGAAATTGAAATTACGAGACATAACTCTCTGGGTCAGTTGCCATTTGCACAATGGAATTGTAGACATCATTGTAGTGGGTCAAATATGGACAATTCACATGGTCCCAAATGAAATAACTATCAGTCCTATTCACTCCTGAAATTAACTTGAGGGGAAAGGCACTGGATACAAGAACCATGAACCCAGAGTGGCAAGCCCTCACTTTCTGGAAGAATCTCCCAATTCTCATTGGGGTCTAAGGTTAGGAATGCAAGCCTCAGGATGGCTGGTGAGCTTGAGGGTGCTCCCTCCACCTTGTTAACCTTCTAGCCTTGTTAGTTTCTTGTTTCTTTGTTTGTTTTTCTTTTACCTTCTAAATTTTAACCTTGTTCGTACTTTTCAGTCACTTTTTGTATTGCTTTATGATGTTGTTTTTAAACTGTCCAGAATCACTTAGGTGGGATGGGCAGTGTAGAAATTTGATAAATAAATAGCAAATCATTGGTTATTTGTTTTTAGAGTGATCTTTATCCTTATAGTTCTATGAACCAATAGTTGGATGTCAGCCTGAAAGTTCTTTGGGCTGTTTTCTTCCAAATGGAAGATAAAAAGGCTTTTATAAAAAATATAGATAATACCTATTAGCCCAATATGGGGCTAGGAGTTGCATGCTGTGATAACAGCACTGAACAAGGTAAAATGTCCTTAAAAATGGAACATTCAAAATATCTTCACTTGTGCATTTTTAACTCCAATCCAACGTGAGACACACACTTCCATATGGAAAAACATGTGGGTTGATTCACAATGGAACAAAATAATTCAAATTACCTACAAGGTTATGACATAGCATTACTTTATTGTAATAGTTATACATTGCATTACACATTTTGTCTTGTACCCTTTTCTATAAGATCCATTATATTATACATTGTACAAAAAAAAAACAATTAGAAGTCTATCTCATTAAGATTTTATCTAACTCTTCCCCCTTTATCTCAAATTATTGGAAGAGGTATATTATGCAAAATAATAAAACAGCAAACACAACAAGCCTAAAATCCACTATCAGCACTAAAATCTTCAAAAAAATCTTGGCTCCGATTTGGACATGTGGGATGAAGAAACCAACTACATTGGCAGCAGCAACCACTAACACTATATCTGCCTCTTTCTTCAGGATTTGACACCTGCAGAGATAAAAACATTTTCAGAAGATACATCTCTGAAATTCCTAAAATGATTCTGTAAAATCAACCCAGTGTTCCTCACTACATTCACAATAAACTACAACAAATCCTGGTTGGTGGGACAAAACTGCTACTTAACAGAGGTAAAAAAAAGTCAGTGTTGAAAATATTCTTATGCACTACAAAGAGTTAAACTATTGTTTAACTATTTGCGGCTCCACAGGACTCAAAAGAACTGCAGTCTCCTCTTCATCCCTTTTTACAATATATGAGGATTTGGACCTAAGCCTGCTATGGGATGGAAACTTGATGGAACAGGTTGTGTGTTAAGATGTTTAGTTCTCCAGCTTCTAGTCCCTGTTGGAAGTATAACAAGAACAGACTCTCCCCATAGAGCTTTGCCATTTCCAATCTTGGTTTTTCTGCTGCCAATCCCAGCTGGATACTGGTTAGAAGATTGGAATATTTTCTCAAGTTCTGCTTCAGTTTCCATGTTAAGGAGAAACTATGGCACATGGTGAATGGGATGGTAGCATTTCTAAGTCCCCCCTCCCCCCCTTCCTAGGCTGTAAGTAGCTCATAGATATTCCCTACTCTATTTAAATTAGACAGCTTCCAACTCCACCACTGAGTTTCAACCTTTCTTCTCTTGAAATGCCATCCCCAATCTAGAATGGAAACTGTACAGTGAGGAGAAAAAAAATACAGAAGCATTAAATATTTATTATTACTAAATGCTATGAAGTTAGGTTTGCTGTTCACCAAAAAGGAAAGAGGTGTTCTTGAGGCGATGAAGTCACTGTTAAAGTGGATCGGGGTGGACTAAGACTGTGGGGAAAAATTGTAGAAAAAAAATAAATAAATGTGGGAAATCACTGCTAAAAGCAGGAAGTGGCCAGTGAGAAGCAAAACAAGCGTACAGAAGATATTTTGTCTTCTAAAACTTTCAGGGCAGGTCTTATGAATGACCTTGCTATTCTGTGGATATTCTGCTTCTCAGTTCATTTAAGACATCTCCAAGTGAAACTGTTGTTTTTAAAAACCTTGCCCTGTAATAAATGGGTAAGTACCTTAAGACATAATAATTTAGATCTATAACTGTTTCTTTAAGGATTTTTAGTTTAGTTACTTAGGCAAATTAATTCAGTGAGGCCACATTCCCAGGAAAGTGAATCACGGGGAAGTCCTACTAAATTCAACACATAAGTTCAGAGGGCCACAACTTTTGGTTGACTTTGACAGAAATATATTATTTGTTGCTGCCATTGGCTCATTTTTTCCAAGAGTTTGCATGCCAATTGAAGGAAACAAAAGCTGGATAGAACCAGAGGAAGTTATTCAATTCATGCAATACCAAACTTTCAAAATCTCAACAAGAGAAATTCTGATTGGCTCTGAATAAAGTTGTATGTGAAGTTTACCTAGCCTCCCATAATCCTCTTGCCTCCAAATATATTGTACTATAAATCCCACCATACACCAGCCGCATGAGCTTTGAATAGATTAAACTACTGGTAATCATTCAAATAGTCCTCCATGAGGTAATTTCAAAGCAAAAATCTGACTATCATAGACTAACACAGCTCTCCTCTATGGCAGGGGTCTCCAGACTTGGCAAGTATAAGACTTGTGGACTTCAACTCCCAGAATTCCCCAGACAGCATAGTTAGCTGAAGAATTCTGGGAGTTGAAGTCCACAAGTTTTAAAATTGCCAAGTTTAGAGATCCCTGTCCTGCAGTGTCATGCTACTAAGACAAAAGTCTTTAAAAAACCTCAGTTACTGATAAAAATCATGAATGGCGGGTTTTATATAAAATAGTAAAGTTTATAACATATGAAGTCCAAACCAAACACACTAAATTTTACCTTAACATGTGTTAACCCAGCCTATGTGTATTTTCAAATAATGTTATGCTCACCCACATAGCATCAGGTAAAATGTGCCATCTACAAATTCTCATCAAATTATTGATCATGGAGGATTCTTCTCTGGTAAATGGCAGAAGATGGTCACTGAAGAAAGCTATGCTCACTGCTAGCTTCCTGCTATTTATCTTCAATAATTTTAATTTCCATTAATTTGGGATTTCAAAACTTGGCCTTCACACATTAAGCTAGGGACCACACATTTATCCCAAAGACAACAGATAAATTATTTTAAAGGGTTGGGTTTTTAACAGTCTGTCTTTTCTTTCCTAAGGCACTCCATTTAGCTGCTCACCTTCCATCCCAATTTCACACAGAGCAAGAAGTGCTCAGAAAAAGCTCCTGCCTAGAATGTCAAATAAATTCCAGCCTTTTCCATTCATTCATTACCTCTCCAGAAAGAGAATGTGCAGTTTGTAAAATGTTATACAATTAGTGCTCTCAGAGTGCTTTAAATGCAAACCTGTAAGAGGAAAGTAAAAACAAATCAAAGTTAATTGTGACTGGCTGGAACAAAATGCTTAAATCAATATGATGGCGGCTCATCTGCTTGTCATTTAGCCATTACCTGGGAGACGGATACCTCCTACTGTGGCTGATTTTTGATACACATCTAGTTTGCCTTGATTCTGCAGACACTGTTTAAGCCAAAAGCTATCCCATACTCCCTACCTCATTATACTGTTTGCTCTTGCCTGCTGGTTCTTGTTGCATCCTTTTCTCTCTTTCTCTTTTATTTTCTGACATAGCCATAAAGAAGAAGGGTCATATTAAAAAAAAAAAAAGTTGAAATTCAAAGAAAGTAATCTTAATATCAAAGCTGAAATTAACATCTTCATAGAATATATTCCACACAGGTATAGAGCAGTGCAGAAATATGTTTGGGTTTGTGTTATGTACGGTATGTGTATGTATGTATATGTATCAATAAGGAGAATATTTTGTAGCTCAGGGTTAAAATGAGAGGTCCTTGGTGCTCTCTGAGCTTGGTTGTTTTCTTGCAGACGTTTCATTACCCAAACTAGGTAACATCATCAGTGTTAGTGTGGATAATGAAACACCTGCAAGAAAACAACCCAGCTTAGAGAGCACCAAGGAGACCCCCCCTCCCCTGTATATGTATATATACACATATATACCCATACAACTTTAGAGTTTAGGTTTCAGGCATTTGAAGTTTATTCCATACAAGCCTGTCTGATTGGAAAAATCTTCCAGATCCTCTGTTTACATCCTAGTTGAACATTCTGGGAACTAAAAAGCGTTTCTTTTCCCACAAGTGCCAATATCTCTGGCCCGTGGAAATCTTTTTAGTAGAAAGGAACATATCATTCCCCCTGCCCCAAGTACATGTTTATTTTGTGTGGGGTTTTTTTATATGTACACATTTGATTTTCTATCCTATTTTAATGATCATACTTCTCATGTATTTAGTTGTTAGTCGTTTTGGGCGTGATTCTCAGACTTGCAGAATATAAATGTTAGCCTCTTTTCTGCTTCTTGTTATGTACTTCGTGCCTAATGACACTGACATTTGTGGGAGAAGGTCAAGCAAAAAAAGGGAAAAACCATACTCTTTTTGTCATCCCTCTGTATTTCCCATACTTCCTTGTTCTGGTTCAGAAACCACAAATAGATATCAAGAGGTATCCAAACGTACTTCCTATCCATCTGGATATTACTTGCCTGTAATATGTTCCTATTGAAAAAAGTTGTTTCGGCAAGTGAGATGTACGGTGTGTATAGCTAGTTTGTGTATGCAAATCTTTCTTAGGCCACTTTGTTTCGAGAGGGAACACACTCTACCATAGATGTTACCTAGTTGGATAATGAAAGGTCTGCAAGAAAACAACTAAGTTCACAGAGCATCAAGGATGCTCATTTCAACCCTGAGCTACAAATATTTTCTTCTATGGGAATGTACTATAGTCCCTGTGTTCTAGCCAGATTTTTGTTGGAGTAGATGGGTTTCCTACAAAGGGGGAGATTTGGATTTGGAGGCTGTATGTCTGAAGTCAATTCCATCCCCCAAATATCACCCTTCAGAACTTGCTGTTCAGTGGATGTCCTCCATAATACATTATTTCTCTCTTTTAGAGTGTAAGGATATATTGCATCTAACAGTATAAAATACTGAGGAAGAATTGAGCTTAGGAGAGAGCACACCGTATATGCCAGTGGTGGCGAACTTATGGCACGTGTGCCAGAGGCAGCACTTGGAGCACTCTCTGTGGGCACATGTGACATTACCCCAGCCTTGCCTCTTCTCATGACCCCCTTACCAGCAGCCCCCCTGGAGGAGAGCATGGCCCACACAGAGCAGTGCAGTCAAGGACATGGCAGCCAGGCAGCGTAGACAAGATTCTGCCCTCACACCTTATTGCGCACAGTTGATGCTGCGGGGTGTGGGCAGAAGGCATGGCCGCAATGGTGCTGCTGGGCTGCCTGGGCAATCTGCAGCGGGCCCTGGAGGTGATGAGTGGCCCTGCGGACAGGTGGGGTGGGGGCGGGGCAGGGGGTGGAGTGGGGGCGGGGCTAGTTTTTGGGCATTCGGTCTCTAAAAGGTTCACCATCACTGGTATATGCAGTCTCCTCCACTTACTTCCTTTTAGTCCAATTGTGGCAGCTGAGGTGTCAAGGTTATGATTTAAAAGCAAACAGCTTATGCAATGATGTAATGCAATGTAAGCTGGATGATGCAATAACAGAAATGACTCAGCAAGTGTGTGTATCCAGTGGTGGGATTCAAATATGTGAACAACTGGTTCTCTGTGTGGATGCCACTTCTGGAAGTCCATTCTGGGCCTGGGCAACAAAAAAATAGTTACCAATTCTGCCGAACTGGTACAAACTGGCTGAATCCCACCACTGTGTGTATCTCTTTAAGAGCCTGAGTATAAAAGGGAAGGCTTTTGCTGCTATGCTCTCTCTCTCTCTCTCTCTCTCTCTCCTCCATATCCTGCTGTAATTACTGTATATTAGAGTTTGCTGTTTCACCACATGCATATATTTTATTTCTAGTGTATATTTGTAGATATACTGTAATATAAACCACATTTAATGCAAACCACTGTTTACTGTATTTACTGCTGGGTTACCTCAGCGCAGTAAGACTGTGCATGCTGTGTTACTCAATAGTGGAAAGGGAGCAGCATTCATTCACAGTCCTCGCTTCCCTAAACCAGCTTATCATGGCTCAAGCCAACTATTTTCCTGCAAATACCTGAGATGCCCCAGCATGCAGGAATCATGTTCTTTTCATTTTTCTTTTTTAATCCCTCAGGATTTTTAAATGCTATGCATCCATTTGAAATAATAGGGTAATGGTTGATGGTAATGCAGCAGTAACAGCAGCAACAACTTCCATTAAAAAAAAAAATCTTAATCTTGTGTAGGATGGAAAGCCCATAATATATAGTTCAGTGGTGGAGCAGGTATTGTTCACTAAAGCTGTCCCAAGGTTACTTTCTGGCATCCCCAGACTTGGATGACCTTAAGAGCTAATCATAATTACCTCCTTCACCATATTTTACAAGGGCAAAATATGTTTCCGGTTTTCTGTCTTAGCGGGTTGTATGAATCTAATCATTTTGACGGGTAGACCATGCTTGCGTGCACCCAACTAATTTTATCTTGTCTAGTAAAATACTGTTAGTAAAACTCCATGTAGTAAATGGTGATTTTTCTCAAATATTGAAACATCTGGCCCACCTTGTCTGACTCGGAAGCTAGGTAGGGTTCAGCCTGGGTGGCGTTTCTGAGAGGCCACCAAACTGCAGACTAGACTGACAAGATGAATAATAATCCAGAAGGAAACAAAAGCACTTCTGCCAAATAAACCCAGCCCTCCACAAAAAATAGGATGCATGTGTCCAGGCAATCATCAGATTCAAGGGCTTCTTTTATTAGCTGATTGAAACTGTGATTAAGCAAAAGTGGATCATTTCAGGACACCACAGTAGGACTCCTTATGGCAACTCCTTACACTTGGGTATCTTTTCCTCCTAGAGTTTAGACAACATTGTTGCCATTTTAACATTAGAAGCTTTCACACTGAGCAACTCACCAGTTTGGTCTAGTCATTAAGGCACCAGGCTAGACACCAGGAGATTGCGAGTGCTTGTCCCGCCTTAGGCATGAAAGACAGCTGGGTGACTTAGACCCAGTTGCTCTCTCTCAGCCCAACCTACCTCACAGGGTTGTTGTTGTGGGGAAAATAGGAAGAGGAAATTGTGTTGGCTATATTTGCTGCCTTGAATTATTTGTAAAAACAATAGAATCAGGAAAAGGAGGAAAAAAGAAAAGAAAAAAGAAACGAAAAGAAAGAGATATGGAAAGAAAGAAAAAGAAAGAAAGAAGGAAGGAAGGAAAAAAAGAAAGAAAGAAAGAAAGAAAGAAAGAAAGAAAGAAAGAAAGAAAGAAAAAGAGACTCCCAGAACACCTAATTTATTTTTTAAAAAATCAGTTGCCTTTTCTAAGCTGCCACATAGCTTGTTACTGCAGCTGGGAGATATATGATGGCCATTTATGATTGGAGCAGCAGCAATGCCAGTTAGGTAACAGCAGGTTCCTCCCTGGAATGGCAGAGAGCAAGTGAGGTTAAACATAGAAAAGATCTGAAGCTGCCCCAAGAATGCCTGCATAGAAATGACATGTAAAGAGGTATAGGAGGAAACTGGGGGAGGCAAAGACAGAAACAATGCAATTGTGATGAGAAAAATGCAGAAAGTGATAGAAGAGACAGACAGAGACACACTCAGGGAGGGTAAGAATGTCAGTCTGTTCGAGAAAAGTAGCCTTTTCAATTTTCTTCCTGCTTGCTACCTAGTTGTTGTTGGTGTCCTTCTAGGATAAAGCACCCCTCAAGTCTGGGAACTAGGTTGTAATGACTGTAAATGAGGGATTGGAGGTGCAAGAAACCCTTTCAACATTTTAAAAGGCACCAAAACAGGGGAAAAGAGAGTTACCTTGGACAAGAGGAAGTCTACTCATTCCCTCTCTGGTTGCAAATCAGCAGTTTTAGTGGACAATAGGCTCAGCAGTGGCCTTATGATTGCCTCTTTTCAAATGGAAATGTCTATCCTAACTCCTCTGCCAGAGTTTTTCTTTCTCTCTTTTTTTCTTTTTTTTTTTTAAACCAGAACACAAATTGCAGTTTACAAGGCATTGAAAGGGGGAGAACCTTGGCTGAATATCTTTTATTATTATTATTATTCGACAAACTGACATGTAAATTACCCTTTAAGTGTTCCACTCTAGAGCTCTGATCATCTCCTAATTGTCAGTCAATTGTAGCCAACACTCTCTTCATTTCCAAGCGCTTTGACAACAAGCCTAAGGATCAAAGCCGCATCAGCTCCCTTCAATATCCTTCTGTTTAGGATGCCACCAAAAGCCTGGAAAAAAGAAAAAAGAATTGAAAAAGGTGTAAGGGCCTTACTGTAGAGGAAAAACAAAGTGGAGAAAGTGCTAAAATAGTCCTCTTCTCTAATACGTTAGATCCTTATGTGGGTTGCTACCTCCAATTTGGCACAACACACAAACAGCCCATAAAATACGCACACTGCGTGCCCATCTTAAAACACTGCAATTCAGACAACAAACAGAATGTCAGCCTTTTATTATGCATTGATCCAATCGGGCCTTTGTTTCCTTAGCAAGCTCAGTATAAAGAAGAGGACAAGTGCCTTTTTTTATTCCCCCCCCCTTAATTATTATTAAGTTAGATTCTAGCTAAACATGAGAAGCTTAACTTGGTACTATCCCAACAGCATTTTCATTTTTCTGAATTTGTAATCAAAACGAAATCTTGAGCTCAGAAAGAACTTTGAAGAAAGAAGTCATGAGGGTGAAGGTTCGTTCTTCGAGCTTGTGGGTTGGTTTCCAAACATTTTGTTACCAGGCTAGGTAACATCTTCAGCGGAGTTTAGGCGATGCCATTATCAGTGTTCTGTTTATAAGGGCTTCAGATGTGGGTGTGTCAAATGAAAGTCTTATGATGGGTCAGGTGTGAGTCATCAATGAGAGGTTTGTGATGGGTCTTGTGGGGTGTTTACCTCAGGTTACCTCATCCTACACCTGAGTTTATGGGGAGTTTACCTCAGGTTACCTCATCCTACACCTGAGCTACAGATATTTGCCACTATTGCAAAAGAAGTCATGGCTATAGCAACCTTGGTATGACAAATTATTGTTAAAGGTGCACTTGAGAGTAAATAAAACCAGAAGACCCAGGCTGATCCCGAAGCCTCTCTTTGTAGCTAAAAAGATCTAAAAAGTCTGGTTCTCCTGCACTTCAGCAGCAGCACTAGGATCAAATTACAGATAGTCCTTGACTCAATCATTCCTTTAGTGACCAAAGTTACAATGGCATTGAAAAAAGGGATTTATGACCATTTTTCACACTTAAAAGCATTGTAGCATTCCCATGGTCACGTGATCAAAATTTGGCTGCTTAGCAACTGGTTCATTTCTATGACAGTGGCAGTGTCCTGGGGTCATGTGATTACCTTTTGCAAACTTTTGACAAGCAAACTCAATGGGGGAAACCAGATTCATTTTGCGTTACTAATTTAAAAACTGTGGTGATTCACTTAACAACGGTGGCAAGCAAAGTTGTAAAATAGGACAAAACTTACTTAACAACTGTCTCACTTAGTAACAGAAATTTTGGGCTCACTTGTGATTGTAAGTCAAGGATTGCCTGTATATAAAGCCACCACATTATGTCACAGGTAAAGTGGCATCTGCGATCCTGTTTCTGCCCTCATGAGGGAGGATAATTTTGGCTTGCTCCTGCCTTAAACTTTGCAGAATTCAGAGGTTGACTGCAAACTGAATCTACTTCCTTGGCTGTTCAAAGAAGAACAAATAGAAACTTCTGTTATGGGATTGAAACAGGGAAGAGGAAAGGAAAATGGAATATTTTTTCTTTGTCTTAAAAGTGTTGCTGCTGGCTTCAGTCCCCGTTGCCCATTCTGGGAGTTGAAGTCCACGAGTCATAAAAGAGCCAAGGTTGCCTACCCTGGCCTAGCCTGTCACATTTGCAAAGATGTCAAATATGGTTTATGGCTTCCCATATTATGCAAACCTATCCAAATACATCTAAAGCAGTGGTTCTCAACCTTTTTAATGCCGTGACCCCCAACCGGTCGTAAGTCGAGGACTACTCAACCGGTCGTAAGTCGAGGACTACTCAACTGGTGCAGCACCGTTTGCAGAATGGGACTTTTGGCGGGCTCAGCAGGGCAGAGACAGCCTGGACAATTCCTATTGGCTTTTGAAAGCCAATAGAATTAGACTCTATTCAAGAGAGTCTATTCTATTGGCTTTCAAAAGCCAATAGAATAAAAGGGAGTAGCACAGCTAAGGAAAAGGGGGGAAAAATGGCGGACTGCGTTGTTTGGCGACCCCCGTGAAATGGTTGTTCGACCCCAAATGGGGTCCCGACCCACAGGTTGAGAACCACTGATCTAAAGCAATAAACCATGTTTCGATAGTAGAAAATGTGGCTCAGGGTTGAACTGTAGAGTTCTTGGACTCTGAGCTTTGTTATTTGCTTGCAGATGTTTCATGACCCAACTAGGTAACATCATCAGTGTGAGTGCGGAATTTGCTGCCTGTTTATTCTATATGTAGCAGCTTGCTCTGCCAGTTTTGGTGAGGATATAGTTTCCACCTTGGTGATTCCTTGATCAAAATATTATTTTCTGCCTTATTGTCTGGTGCTGATCCCTGCTTATCTGAATGTGGGCTGTTGAAGGAATATACCTTCATGTTTACTTCCTAGGGTTTTTTTATTCTTTTTTTAATGGTGTATAAATGTGGTTTATCTGTGTGTGCCTATTGGTGGCCTTTGGAACTGTGTTTAAACAAACCAAGGTTTAGTGCAATGTGTGAACCTAGTCTCTGTTCTTTCTAAAATTCTGAGCCTCAGATGCCTAGGTAACCTTAATCCTACTGCAGCTTAGGGCTGATGTATGTAAATCTATTTTAAAATGGGAGGGGGGTTAATCTATTGAGCTTCAATGCCCTCTTAAGAATTTTGGTGGATTTCTTTTCTTCTTCAACGCAATGCTTAATTTTAAAGAGAGCTTCTATTGTACATAAAACTGGCAGTCCTCTATTAGCTTTTTGTTTTCTGCTCCTTTCCTGCCAACTCTCACCGACAGCCATGTCCTATGTCCATACCTCTATACTTACCACATTGTGGTTAGATACATGGGAAGCTTCTTTATCAGGCCATTAGTCCATAGCACAATCAGCTGTTAGCTCTCCAAGGTTTAGGCAGCTTTTTCTTTTCTTTTTTCTTTTTTTCCCCCTTTCCTTTTCCTTTCCTTTTCTTTTCCTTTCCCTTCAATATCTCATTTGCACCATACTTTCTTTTTTAGCTTTGATCTGTTGGTTTTTCTTACATTTGTAACCTTTAGCTGATATTAACTTTTGACCTAAATTGTTTGGAATAAAGATAATCATCTGCTTTGATCTATGAGGATGCTAGGGTGATAACAAGAATGCTCAAGATGACACAGCAGCAGCATAGAGAAGGTGAAATGGGCAATTTTTATTTTATGTTATTTATTTAGAAGAGGTTCAGAGGCAATAATAAAATGTTAAAACAATCTAAAAAACATAAAACCAACAAAGGACCTTCTGATGCCCCCAGTTACAGCTTAAACATCTGGAACAAAACAAAAAATATTTTTTAATATATTTATTAAGGGTTTTTCCATTGAAAAGGAAGGAAGGAAGGAAGGAAGGAAGGAAGGAAGGAAGGAAGGAAGGAAGGAAGGAAGGAAGGAAGGAATTGAAAGATAGGGGAGGGAGGGAGGGTAACATGTGTGAACCATGGAGTACCCATAACCCCATGTGCTCCTCCATTTTGGACCAACTGTAACATCCTGTGCTTAATACCTATTTTTGTTATTTCTGATTTTTCATGAATCAAACCACTGGCAATGGACCATGCCCTCATTATATTTCACCAAGCCACTACAACCATCAATTTACTGTTAGTATCAATAGTGGACATAATTTATATAATTTACATCATGACTGACACGGAAGAGACAGAAAGGATCACATAAGATGAGCATGAATATAGTATTTCCAATTTACTATGATAGAAAAATCAGAATTTTACCTCTTGTCTAATGCTTCATTTCTAAGGTCATTTCCACACTTGCTTTCTCATTCACTATCATGTATCACAACACAATGCAGAAACCTTTAAAATTAATATGTCTATATGTATATGTATATAACTATCTGTGTGAGTTTAATCTGTGTTTCTTTTCAGATTGGTTTATACTCAGTTTATTCTGAGTATTCAGATGACTGAAGCATGATCCAATAAACCCAATAAAAATCCCAAGTAGCAATGTGCCTTTTTATATGGCTGCCAAACTGCACTGAAATTGTGGAGGCACCAATTACCTCAGGTAGCTGTCCCACAATAGCTTACCATCCTTTTCAGTGTGTGTGTGTGAGAGAGAGAGAAAGGCAGGATGTGACAGCCCTTTGAGTACACCAGGTCAAGAAATATCACACAGGGTCCAGAAATGTTATTTCATTGTTTTAGAGGACAGTAACAAAATCTTGAAAGCTTGACAGAGTTTCTCTTTGCCCCACCTTATACCAAACAAAATCAAGGTGGAGTTAATTGAGTTTCTTTCTCATGCATTCTTCAATTTCTGGACTGTGTAATCTCTTCTCCAAATCCCTCCTTAACAGCTTGTTCCTTCCTCCCCCCCCCCCCTTAAAAGCTCTTTTATATCTCCAAGCCATCTGGGTTTGTTTTCTCTGCCACCTTTGTTTCTTTGATAGTGTTGTTTTCATGCTTTGTAGAGTTCTTTCTTTATTATATAAATGTTTTTAACAATCTGTAAATCTCCCAGAGTCGCTGGGAGGTGAGTAGCATATACATTTTTTAAAAATATTATTATTACATTACTTTCCAAGGTCAATTCTAAATTGCTATACAAGATGGTGGGCATGACTCCACAGTCAACACCCAACCCCTTTTAACAGGTGTGCAACACATATAAAACCGGTAGAGCTTTGCTCACACAATTGTGCCCGCCATCTTGACTTTTTTGACCCTTCCTTCCTTCCTTCCTATGGACATTTGTGGTCCTTTTGAAGCATAACACAAATGTCTTGATTTCCTCATAATAGGAATTTTAAAAGAAGATTGTAAAGATGATAAAGTGTGAAAGGAAGATTACAACTAGATTTTTTAAAAAAACATTGTTAAAAGTGAGTGATGCTGTGATTTACCTTTTTTAATAGATATTTCTAACTCTCTGAAAAATGGGTACTCTCTCCTGTCTTCATTTAATATACTTAGGAGGGTGGTGGTTAGAATTACTGATTCTGAATCAAGATAGCTCACTGTTCTTCAGCGAGTCTGTGATCTACAGTACCCAGATTCTGAATAACTGAATCAGTATCAATTTTTTCCTAAATGTTATCATATTAAATTCAGGTTTCCTTTCAAATGGGGTCTGAAATGCCTGTCACTTAGTAAATAAAAGGACAAGAACCTTTGCAACTTGGATAATGTGTGCCCTTTTCCCAATCTTAAAAGCAATCTTTATGGCAACCTTTCTCAACTGGGCTTCCATAAGAATTTGTAATTGAAAAAAAAAAATACCATTTTTTTTTTAACTTAACACCCTGTACGATGTTAGCAATTGTGAGAATTGCTGCATACTGTGACTCATCTGCTGACCTTCCACTTTGCTGTTGTGGTAAATGTTGTAAAATGTCTAGTGTACAGGTCAGAAGTTTATTGTATTGTGAAGTTTTTGTATTTTTTGTGATTTTTTTTATATATACAGGAATTCCCTGAGACCTGAATATTATTTCAAAAGTGCCTCCAGAGTAAAAGGGAGAAGAAAGGCTGATTTAAGCAGATTTCTGGCAAAGTGTTCTTTTCCTCTCTTACCATAATACTGAATGATGAAGGAAAAGAAGACAAAAAAGGGGGAAGAGAGTTTTAAAAGATACAGAGAGACAAAATGTGATGAAGGTAAAAGAAAAAGGAGAGTTGTCTTGGGTTCTCATACTTTTGGCCTTGCTCTTATTAATACTAGGCATCAGTGAATTACTTTCAAGGGATCAAATTTCAATTACTTTCAGTGAATTACTTACAATTACTAAAGTAACCATTTTTTAAAAAGAAAGAAAGAAGAAGAAGCAGCAGCTTCTTATCTCTGTTGGTAAACATCTCCCTAATTTTCATGGTGATCTTCTAGAACCTAAAAAAAAAAAAAAAAAATTCTTGAAATGGCTGGGAGTAAAGCAGCAGGCTGATTATAAATGCCCAGAGTTATTTATTGTCAGGTTACTCAGGTAGCATCAAACTGAATAAAATAAGTAAATACAAAATAAATGCAAGGCTAATGGGCTGCCAACCCTTAGTGAAACATTTACAGGACTATATCTGACAAATTCATGGGTTTAATAGAAAACATGCACACATTTATTAGGGATATCCAGCCCTGTTTCACTTCTAATCTGAGAAATCATTCCTGGATAATTATACCTAGCATTTTCAAAATATCAAACAACACTATTGGATTGATAGAAAGGGGGTGGAGGGATGACAACAACTACATAAAATATATTTTCTTATAGATCATCTAAATGTAGTTTGCATATTTGCATATTTAAAAGAAATGAAAAATGTGGTTCAATATGTTTAAAGCAGTGCAATTTACTTTGTAAGCAGATGGGACTGACAAAAATAAATTATTTAAACAGAAAGGACTAGAGTCTAGGATTGAGAAGATTTTCAGAAGCTCTTATGGGCATAGCGGATTATGCTAGTTTTATGCATGTATCGATATTAACTCCTACTATTTTGGAATGGTTTCACTCCCTAAAACTCCGGCTTTACCATGCTGTTTTTGTTTTTAATTGAGTGACACCTAAGCTTTATTGCAATATGTATAAAATTATGTATCAACCAAATTTAGATTACTATTTTCTTTATGCATAAAATGAATTATAAATAATTCTCATATTTTTGTAAATAAAAAAGCCAGACAACATTTGTCGCCCTTGCCATACTAAGATAATAAAAAAAATGTGATTTTCTTTGCCTGTCACTGGATCTAAGCTTTGGCCTAGTGTTTTAACAATTTAACTAATTAATTTTATGTGTGCATTCTTCAACAGGTAAAGTAGCTGTGATTTACCCCATTTTAAGTAAATTGTATTGCTACTAAAATATTGTAACAGTAAAATCCATGGATCTTAAAAGAACTGAACCTTCCTTGGATCTTGGAAATAATTTAAAATCAGTTTCAAATAACCCAGGATCAAAATGGAAAACAAGCAACACCCAAAGAATCAAAATTCAAATTTTATGTTATGGATTGAAGAATAAACTTACAAAAATGATAACTGGAGCTAAGTGAGTGATTCGTTCATTTTCATTTCCATTGAAAAAATGGGTTTAGAAATTGGGGGGGGGGGCAGGGCCACATTTCCCTAATAGGGCAAGTTTTGTATATGTTGGGAGGTAAATCCCATAGTACCAATCTACCCAACCAAAAAGGAAAACTGGGGAGTGATAATTATTCCAACTCATGTGAAGGACACCAAGCTGGAGAAAGATAAAGTATCTCTTCAGAGCTAAAATACAATAGCCTCTGGCTTTATCTTTCACACTAACTTTCATGGAGAAAAATAATTATATTTTAACCGAGGAAACCATGCAATCCATCCTATCTTTCCTTTAGCTGAAAATACTTGATGCTATAGTCCTGATCAAGAAGTTATGCTTCTATCCCATTGAAATAAGCAGAAATCATAGGGGAATATTGTGCCAATTTTTCTGCCTGTGTTCAGTGACAAAAGGGGGAGGAATTGGTCTTAAATTCCTTGTGATTCCTTTGTAGTTGAATGGCATTCATTAAACTGGAGAAATCAAATCTAGAAAGCGATTCAGAAAGGAAGTGGAGCTGCCTTTCTCACAGCCTGAGTGGCCTGTTTGGTCTACAGATTTTCTGGTTTTCTATGCTGCTAGTTTTAAAGCATGCCTAATTGCTTATGGTCAACATCCAGTCGCCACCAGATCACACATTAAACAGATAACCACTATTATTATACGAGCAGCTTCCTTGACCTCATATTTTGGTTTGGCTCAGCATTCCTGTACTTTTACCAGTCTGGTTTGTAAGTTTCTGCCAACCTTGCCTCTGTACGTGTCATTTTCGACTACTAAAAGTGCAATCAAAAGCCAGCCGAAAGCCCATATTTATGCACACAAAAAGAATAAAAGTCAAGAAATATGATCGCGTATATCCTAGTGTTTGCTTTAAGCAATGTTCTACACTTTAAAAACAAGACAAAACAAAAACCCTCCAGCTAAGGTACAGGGTGTATTATTTGGCAAGAAGTCTGACTGGACAATGCTAAATGTTTGGGTAAGTACATATATGGAAATGAAAGCCTTTCTTGAAAAACACGAACTTTTTTTAGCAGAATTTCTAGAATTTTACATTTGGAAATGGCTGGAAAAGTTCATAGACATTAACACAATTAAAATCTTGCCAAGAGTCATGGGAATTATGAGTGTAAACAATGGGGGGGGGTTTCTCAAAATGATTCAATCATATTCCCATCCTACTTGCAAGGTAGGTGAGACTTAATAGTTAAGGTAATACTACCTTACAAGTTAGGTAGGAAGATAATACTTCCACTAGGGTAGACCAACCCAGGATGATTTTTATGACCCAAATTTGCTCCACTTTTAAACTCCTCTAATATGGAACTTTTCCTCCACACCAGAAGCCCTGAACCATGTCTTGCACATAAATGTAGGATACAGAGCCTAACCTCAAAACATTTATATTTCTGTTCCTCATATACTATAAATAGGTGAGTTTCGGTGAACCTCAAACGCACAAGCTGAAAGTCACAGTCTCACTAAATCCTTCCAGTGCATCCTTCAAAGTTCCTCCACAGATTGCTATCAAGTTGCATTTTTAATAAAACAAAAGTGAATTAGTTCTTTAGATGCAGGATGAGAGATTTTTATTAATTAAATTGAGATGTAAATTCAATTATTATTATTTTTAATTTGGGGCATGACTTTAAGCAAAGGGCTCACTCTGTCCTGGCCCTTTGCTTTAAAAAGCCAAGTCTGATCCACGCTTCACCCCTTACCCCCACCCCCCCAAGTTGTACACTTCTGTTCTAAATGACCATTGTGAGAGGAAGAATGATCCACACCTAACTGGAGAAGCAACAATGACATCTGACCTCTTATACCTCTTTCTTTGCTTACTCAGGGGAAAAAAGAAAACAGCAAGGTTAAAACAGTGAAGTGCCTCTTCTGCCAGGATAACTCTTCCTTATTCAATGCCATCTGCCCAACTTATTAACCCATGAGGAGCCATAATCACTTCATATCCCACTCAACAAGGCAGTTGGTGCCAAATAGCTGCTCTGAAGGACAGGCAAATTGAGTTTTGTTATGATTGTGCTAAGTACATGTAATGAAAAAAGATTCAAATTGGCACTGCCCCTTTTGCAACTCATGCTGCCTCCTGATGCAAAATATCCATAAATACCAGACCAAAATACCTGAATGTAAGTACTGCAAAAGGGGAAACAAATTGGTTATCAGTCCAACAACTCTTTTGTCAAGTTTAAACCAAGCAGGGCAGTTCAACTTTTTTCAAATAAGCTGACATGTGTGCTGGCATTAGATGCTAAACGTTTCCATTAGCATATCAGCCTGCAATGTCAGAACAAGATCTGCTTTTATGGCTGCTGCGTGCTGCAGTGGAACTGATTATTTTTTCTGTTCTGTTATTTTTCTAGGACTGGCATATAAAAAGGTGAGGCTGAACACTTTCATGTCCAGCCAGCCAACACAATGGCATTCTTTTGCTAACTGTTCCAATGGATGCCATATATGATCAGAAATCTCAAAAATAAATGCCTAAGTGGCAGATGTAGACACCACAGAGCTAATGAAGTGATAACCATATCTATATTGTCAACAGGTCTGTAAAATTGCCAATCAGGTTAGGCCCTTTCTCTCTAAACTATTCAAAGACTCAAACATTAGCATCTCAAAGGTAACATATCAAACAGTCTCACCATTCCAGAGTCCTGGTCACAGCAGCAATTTAATGTTAGTTATCAATGTGAGATTCAAATCTGTGTTAAAATGCACTCTTAAGAAGCACCAGGAACCAACCCAGGTTGCTGAAGTTCTGACCTTGTCAGACAAAAAGGTCTTTTCCTTCATTGCTGAGGGTGGGAAGATCAAAACAGGAAAGAGGCAGAGATTGAAATCAGGGACAAAAGTAAGCCACCGAAAGACGTTTATCAAGGACAGCACAGATGGAAGTCAATAAAGAAGAGCTAGAGGCCCAGACAAGGCAGGAGAATTTGGCTGACACAATATGAAAGGAATTTTTAATTGGCCCTAAACTATTGGCATTTCCTTCTTTGAAAGAATTTAGTTCCTGCTGCCAAGGCCTGTTTTAGACAGGATGTAAGAGACAAGGAAAATCTTTACCTGTAAGCTTTCTGCACAGGGCTGGTCATATTTAAAGACACTTCAACACAGAGCTGGAAAAACACTTTCAAACAGGGATCCTGATTGAAATGGCTAATTTGCCCTCTGATGTGGGAGTTTCTGCTGTGAAATTTTCCTGTGTTGTACACTGTATGTTTACCCACATAAGTATGGCACTAGAGACAACGTTTTTCTCTTCCCCACACTGAGATTTAGCTTTTAGGACTCTGAGGTTGGGAGACGAGCTCTACAAAATGAAAATATCATCAGCAGGTCACCTCTGAAAGACAAACATAGAAACAAGAGATTTGAACAGCCTTTCCCAATTGAGTGTTCTCTACCATTAATTCTCAAACTTTTATTAAGAGCTCCATGCAGTAGTCTAACAAAAGAGGGAGGAGCAGGAGGAGGAGGAGAAGAAGGAGAAGGAGAAGGAGAAGGAGAAGGAGAAGGAGAAGGAGAAGAAGAAGAAGAAGAAGAAGAAGAAGAAGAAGAAGAAGAAGAAGAAGAAGAAGAAGAAGAAGAAGAAGAAGAAGAAGAAGAAGAAGAAGAAGAAGAAGAAGAAGAAGAAGAAGAAGAAGAAGAAGAAGAAGACGAAGAAGAAGAAGAAGAAGAAGAAGAAGAAGAAGAAGAAGAAGAAGAAGAAGTTGTTTTCTCTCTACTTTTTACAAATGTGTGTTTGCCTGGGTATGAGAAAGAGAGAGGGAAATCTTCTATTATTGTATTTATATTTTACAGCAGCTTTAAAGGATGTAAACATGGGATAATATTTTTGACAATGCTGCTATGAATAATCAGAGCTAACTGGGATTCAAGTTACCTAACCCTCGGATATGTATCCAGATAGAGAGACAACTAACTAGGGTCAAAGATGGATTATTTTTTTTACTTTACTGTTATTTGGTCTCAAGAGATGCTCAATGCTGAAATCAGAAATATGTTCTGCTTGGGTACTAGGTCTCTTTGCCCTGGCACCCTTTGTTGAAGTTGAATGGTTCTGCTACCCTTTCTCTCCCATTCACTACTGGGTGTTCTCCCAATGGGAAATGAAGTTATGTCCCAGTAAACTACTTCTATAGTATCATCCTGAGACAGCTGCTTGAAAACTGTAGGGTCCAGAGTTGTGGTCCCATCTCCTCTGGAGAATGCTATGTTGGAAGGCTACATTAGAGCATATATCTCGTGGATTAATTAGAAGATGACTTACTGAATTAAATACATTGGAATAAACTAAATTCAGCAACAAATATTGGACAGGCACCTGAACATTAATTATTGCATCCTCTCTTGGATAGAAGCATCTAAGACTGTAGGACAACTACACATGTAAATGGAGGAAGAAAAGATTGTAGCATGCACCTATAAAGACAAAAGATGTGTTATCATCAATGTGAAAAGGGCAGACTTGTGGAGCCTGCGTGCCCCTGTTCCCACCCAAGAGGGTCTGTGTCCTCATTAGCTTTCTACTTTGGGACAATTAGGATGTGAAAATTGAGCTGAAGCTTTCCTGAAAATCAGTTTGGTATTCTTAATAAGCATTTATTTGTATCACAAAACAGTCATATACTCTGGCACTTAAGTACTGGGTCTGGAAAAAGGCCCATGAAGAAGTGAGGGGGAAAGTGCTGGTAAATTTAAACAACCTGTAGCTTGTTCAGCACATTATAAACGAAGTCAGACTTTGCTTTTAACCACAGTCAACTTCTCTCTTCCTCTTTATCAGAGAGAGAGAGAGAGAGAGAGAGAGAGAGAGAGACAGACAGATCACTATGGCAAATATTTTATTTCTGTACTA